TTGGGAGAATTGTCAAAATGTGACACAGAGACACCAAACGAGCGAATGCGCCAACAAACTTGCTCAAGGCAGCCACAAACCTCCAATTTGTGGAAACCAAAATATCTGTGAAACACGGTAAAGCGGGGCACAACATCACGGAGCACGCCCGTGCAGGAACAAGGAAGGATTCCCTGCCCAGACCTCAGGTTTTCCTCTCTCTCAAGTAAATCTTATTTTTGCCTTGGTTTGTTGGCCACAAGGGTCTATTAACTCTGTCCCTCAAACCAGTACATGTGGTTTGCACGAGGGTAACACCCACACATCTGAGTTATTCTTTGATGATCCACACTGAGGTGAAAAAGGACACGAATCTATGTACCGACGCAGATAGATCTTCCGATAAATTAAGTGAAATAAAGTGTATTACGGTGCATGTAGCATGCTGCCACTTATACACGAACTGTCAATTAGGTTTTTTTTAAAGGCCAGGAGAAGAAGAACAAAAAACAAATAGAAAACGAATAGTAAAATGGTGGACTGGATCCCGACTGGAGCTATAATTACATCGGGTGGAAATGAGAAAAACACTTCCATTCAAAGCAAAGATGAACAGATTGGATTAAAAAAGTAAGGTCGCACTACACACTGTCTGTAAAACCCTCTTTAAATAACACGCTATATAGAGATTACAAGGAACACCAACTGGGTGGCTAAAAATAACAGAAATTTATTCTCTCAGTTCTGAAGGCCAGACATTGGAAATCAAGGCATCAGCAGGCTTGTTTCTTCTGGATGCTCCGAGGGAAAACCCCTGCCCGCGCCTCTCCTAGCTTCTGGTGGTTGCCCACAAGCCTTGATGTTTCTTTTCTTAGCCTCTGGACTCACCATTTCTTCGGTCTCCATCCTCACATGGCATTCTCTTCTGTTTCTTTCCAGATATCCTACTTCCCATAAGGACCCCAGACATTGCACTGGGGCCCTCTCTAATCCAGTGTGACCTCACTCAACTTGATGACGTCTGCAAAGACCCTTTTTCCAGTTAAGGTCACATTCACAGGTACCGGGGGCTGAGACTCGGACTTGACTTTTCAGGGGACACAATCGGATCCATGACGCTATGCAAACATTAATCAAAAGCAGGCTGGAAGTTACTATAATAGTATCAGACACAACAGACTCCAGACCAAGACCTATCACCAGGAATAAAAATGGTAGAGGGGGCCAACTCATCAACAAAGGCAAAGCAACCCTCATTGTGTCTGCACCTGCTCCAGAACTCGACATCCCATGAAGGAAGGGACAAGACAAATCCTTCAGTAGAATCAGAGGTTTCAACATCTCTCTGAGCAACGGTAGAGCCAGCACAGATCAAAAATCTTTTAGAAGAGTTGAACAACGCTAACCATCCGCCTGGCCTGCCGTATACGAAACACTCCACCTGTATGCTCCAAGCGCACGAGGAACATTCACCAAGGTGGACCGCACTATGGCCATAAAACAAAATCTCAAATTTTAAAAAGGATTGACACGATACAAAGTATGGTCTCTGGCCACCAGGTAAATACGCAAGAAACTAATTTTGGAAACGTGTCTGGAAAATCCTCAAGTATTTGGAAATTGACGACACGTTCCCAAATAAACCATGGGTCTGAGAAGAAATCATAATGGAAATTAGAGAACATTTTCAGGGGCGCCTGGGCAGCTCAGTTGTTTAAGCATCTGACTCTTGGTTTCGGCTCAGGTCATGATCTCAAGGTTCGTGCGTTCAAGCCCCGAGTGGGGCCCTGCGCTCACAGTGTGGAGCCTCCCTGGGGTTCTGTCTCTGCCCCTCCCATGTCATTCTCTCTCAAAATATATAAATAAACTTAAAAAAATTTTTTTTCGCAGAAAACACAACATAATCTTGCAGGATGTGACTAAAGTAGTGCCTAGAGGGAGAACTATGGCCTTCAAACCAGACGTTGAAATTCAGACCCTGGTTCCTCCCAGGACCCTCTCAGCGAACAGCACAGGTTATAAGAATGGATCATTGCTTACACTGTGATTTCGTACGGGCCACAAAAGGCCGCTTCTTTAAATTTTTTTTAAATGTTTATTTATTTTTGAGAGAGAGACACACACACAGACAGATCATGAGTGAGGGAAGGGAGACACAGAATCCGAAGCAGGCTCCAGGCTCTGAGCTGTCAGCAAAGAGCCTGTCGCAGGGCTCGAACTCACGAACCATGAATCATAACCTGAGCGGAAGTGGGGCGTTCAACCGACTGAGCCACCCAGGCACCCCTCAAAAGGTGGCTTCTTTACTTTTACTGACCCTTTTGCATTTATTAGCTAAAATTTTTGTCTATAGAATCAACCATTTACCTTGAAACATAAGGTAAAATAAAAGGCAAAAGTAATTATTTTTTGCTTGAGCCTTTGACTTATTTTCAGAGTAATGACACGATGCTCAACAGCATCCACCTGTGACTATACACAGTTTCTTTCTGCTTTTGAGACTCAAAAGTTCCACGGGGGGACCCTTGAAGCTGGCTCCTGAGTCCTCCCCATCCCCAATGATTTACAATTGTCAAACACATAGAAGTGTTGAAAGAACTTTGCAGGGAACAGTCACAAACCTACCACCGAATTCGACAGGGAACACTTTTCTCTGATCACCAGCACCAGCACTGCTTACCCTCCTCAGAACCTATTTTCATCGCACTTCATGTGTCTCCTTCTAGGCCTTTCTCTGTGTACTATACGTATTTCCCTATCGTGTTAGTCTGCTAAGGCTGTCATAAACAGAATACCACAGACCAGGGGGGCTTCGACAACAAAGTTCTGACAGTTCTGGAGCCTGGACATCCAGGGTCAAGGTGGGGGCATGTTTGCTTTCTCCGGAGGCCTCTTGGGACACGGGACGTGGACTGTGGTTCTATGTCCGTGTTGCAAGTCTGACAACCCGGTGCTGATGTTGGCCGGGGAGTTCAGTTCCTCCTGACCGGGACCCTGCCACAGATGGCTTGAGTGTCCCGAGGACACGGTGGCTAGCTTCTTTCAGAGCCGGTGATCCAAGAGAAGAGACAGCAGGCCAGGTGGAGGCTTCCCATTTTCAGGACCTAGGTTTGGAGGGGACATAGCATCACCTCTGCCACATCCTATTCCTTAGAGTGACTAAATGCACACACGCTGGAAGGGAGCAGGGTTTGGCTTGGAATTTATGAACCCATCATAAATGAACTTTTATGGCACACTTTGATTCCTGAAAGTCGTCTCCCTTACACTGTAATTCTAAGATGACAAGGATCATGCATTCTCGGGGCGCCTGGGCGGCTTAGTCAGTCAGTTAAGCCTCCAACTTGGGCTCAGGTCATGATCTCACGGTCTGTGAGTTCAAGCCCCACGTCGGGCTCTATGCTGACAGCTCAGAGCCTGGAGCCTGTTTCAGATTCTGTGTCTCCCTCTCTCTGACCCTCCCCGTTCATGCTCTGTCTCTCTCTGTCTCAAAAATAAAAAAACGTTAAAAAAATTAAAAAAAATATATATATATATATTAAGAAAAATGAAAAGAAAGAACGCAAAACATGACAAGGCTCTTCAAGAGGAAGAAGTGAGACTAGCCAGCCGCTCCAGGCCACACACCAATGCCCCAGAAACCTTCCCTAAGAAACGTGCAACTTCCACAGCGAGGCCAGCTGTTTTCAAGCTTTTCTGTGAATTTCTGCTTCCTTGTTCATGGATCTGGCACCTTCAGCACTTTCTACAGGAAAAGGGCTGGTAGAACCCAGTGACCGCTGAAAACCGCGGATGCAACTAGAAATTAGGCGAACTCTAACCTCCAGAGGAAACCTGTCGGCCGGTACATAAGGGGAAACTGAGGCAGAGAGGCCACTCAGCTGAAAATAGGACGGAGAAGATTCAAACCCGGTGTCAGGCAACCCAAGAACCTTCTGTAGCCCTGGTGTTCTTTCGACTGAGGGAAAAGACACCTGACTTTCAATAGAGCGCTATGACCGTTTTCCAGGGCGCTGCCGCGCGACCGTGCCCAGAGTCCGTGGGGACGTTCCGTGTCCCCACCCTGAGCCTCGGTCCCCAGCACACATTGACGCCCACCCGCCCCCGCCCCTCCACCACCGGATTCCTTCTAGCACCTCACAAAACACGAGGGCGGAGCACCCTCTCAGCTCACAGCGGACCCGCGGCACCAGCCACAGCCGGCCCCGCCCCGCCCCAACAGCGGCAGACCCCGCCCAGCGGCGGCAGACCCCGCCCATTCACTGCTGAGCCGCCCCCCCGCCCCCCCGGGTCGTCGCGCGTCTGAGGGCGGAGGCCTCCGCGGGCCGAACCACGGTGCCCCTCGGAATAGGGGGGAAGGCGGAATTACCGCCGCCGCCGCCATTGGCTTGGGCATAAGTAATTAAAGCAACTCGCCTTCATTTCGGTATCGTGCCAGACAGCCGTCTTTCCACGAGTACTGGCCACCTCTTGGTCGCCAGAAGTTCCTTTTACATTTTGGAAACGTCCATTCTTTTGCCCAGTCAGTGGACGACTCTAAGAGCCATCACGGAGAAAGGGAAACTTAACTCATGTAAGCGAAGCTTTGTCTGGTGGAAGGCTAAGATATCACAACCAAGATAGCTTGTTGAACTCAGAGTGTTTTCCAGTATATACTTCTGAGTTATATGTTCCGTTTCAGTGACTAAGCCGGTTCCTTGTGCCTCCCCGCGGCGTCACAGATAGTGTAGTCTTTCAGCGCAGAGCCCGACGGGAGGAGGAAGGGAGTGGCTGCCATGTTGGACGGGACCATCCTGTCCCACAGGCGGGGGGGCTGGGGTTCCCGGTGAGTTTGTGGTTTGGGCCCAGCAGCTGTGGTGCCGCGCCTCAAGCACATGCTTGTCATGGGAGCCCTGTCGTGGTCCCCCGTAGAAACACTTGCTGCTCCCGACCTCCTTCGAGCATCCTGCGATTATCAGGGCGTGGACACCCCCCTCCCCGAGCTCCGTGGGTCGGCCCGCGGCTTGCACATGGCCCGGCGGCAGGCGCCGCGCAGTGCGGCCTGGGAGAGTCGGAAGCGCGGCGAGGCCGGGCGAGGCGGCAGCGGCGGGCCCATGCAGGACGCGGAAAACGTGGCGGCGCCCGAGGCGGCCGAGCAGCGGGCAGAGCCCGGGCAGCAGCAGCCGGCCGCCGAGCCACCGCCACCGGGAGAGGAGTCGTCGCGGCCCGCGGGGCCCGGCGCGCAGGAGGCAGCAGGCGGCGAGGACGCGGAGACCGGGCCGCAGCCCGCAGTGCCGGCTGAGCCCGCGGCCGACGGGGAGGAGAGGGAGGCTTCGGCTCCAGGCTCGTCCCCGCCGCTTCCTGAGGAGCCCCTTGCGCCGGCCCCGGTCTCGGGCGAGGCCCCAGTGGAGCAGGCCGGGAACGCGTCGGCCGAGGCCCGGTCCGAGGGGGCGGGCGGGGAGGACGGCGGCGCGGACGAGCCTTCCTTCAGCGACCCCGAGGACTTCGTGGACGATGTGAGCGAGGAAGGTGAGGCGGCGCGGGAGGCAGTGGGTCGTCCCCGCGTTCCACTTGTAGTCCCCCGCCTTGGGAAGGGTTTCTTGGAGCGTTTGGGTCTCCTTACGTGTGTTCTGTCCCCAGAATAAAGCGGGCGGGGCGGGGCTGGGGGCCAGGAGACCGGAGACCGCTTGGGAGCCGCTCGTTTGCACTAAAACCTGGATTTTGGAGGGTGGTGATGATGGACAGTGGGCAAGCTGGAGCCGTGGCCGTGTATGGCATCTGGGGCCCAGCAAAGCAGGGCAGTGCACGTGCCGCACTATCTTGGGTGACACTTCCCTCTCTGCAGGTCTGGGTGCCCTGAGTGATGAGCCACACCTGTCAAAGGCCTGAGCCAGACCTCATGGGGACGCTTTTTGGGGTTGATGGGATGCTGTCCGTTAGAACAAGTTGTGACAGAGCTGGGTTCCTCTGCCCCTGCTCCACAGACGCTTCTGCCTTCAGAGAGTCTTAATAGGACTGGAAGGCTGACTTTGCCAGATTCCTGTCTGGTTCTCTCTTTTCTGAGTCTGTAGGCAGACGCTTGCCCTGTTGGCGCATAGTATTTTTAGGGTGTAGTGTCATTCATTGTAGCTCTACTCTTTTTCTTATCTTGATTCAATTTGCAGGTATTTCTGCTTTCTGCCTGAGAGCTTGTCTTCTAAAGTGACTTCTGTAGTGCCTAATCTTATTTGCTTATGTTTTGTTTTTAGCCGTTTGAACTGTCCGAGCTCAGAGCACGTCAGTGGATTCCTGTCCGTTATAGTAGAATGGGAAAGAACAGCGAGGAGGTAGCTAAGGGCACGCCAAGAAAATAAGATGTTGTCATGTTAATTTGTTTTGTTTTGTTTCTGAGATCTCGCGTCCCATCACGCGGAGATTGAGTCAGAATCAAAGAACCTCCAGTAAAACGAAGACGACGACTTAGGGAACCAACAGCACCGTTTACTTTTAACTTAAACCTAACGTTAAGGAGTTACCTGCTGTTGTCGTTATTCTCATACTTTATTTCTTAAGGGACATTTTAATGTTTATTTACTTTTGGGAGAGAGACAGAGTGTGGGGGGGGGGGGGGCAGAGAGAGAAGGAGACACAGAATTTGAAGCAGGCTCCAGGCTCCGAGCTGTGAGCTGTCAGCACAGAGCCCAGCGCAGGGCTTGAAGCCATGAAATGTGAGATCATGACTTGAGCACAACATCAGACCCTTAACCGACTGAGCCACACAGGCCCCCCTCTTGAAGGATCTTTTAGCCTGAACAGGAGGAAAGGCCACAGCAGTGAACACTTGGGCTGCTGACCCAGCGAAAGTCCCTTACCTGTGAGGAAATGTGCTCCTTGCCGTGGGAGAGGTTGCTGACAATTTACGAGGAGGCAGTGTTGCCGGGACCCTGCCAGGCTCTCCTGCCCTGACTAGCATTTGTTTCCATTGCACCAAGTTGTATTTTGTAGTTTAAGTTTTGGTTCGAAAGCTCATTTCGAGCCCCTGAGTGTTTACCGTTGATTTCTTAAAAAGCATTGAGCACGTCGATTTCACGCAGGATTTCTGCCACGTGGACCATTTCCAGAGTTGGGTTGTGTGGCAGGACTAATGTGAGCACGAGCCAGCCAGGCCAGGTGACTGCCCGGAGGGCCTTTGGGGGCCCTTGTGATCCTGAGACTGTCCCCAGAGTGGCCTGTGAGGCCCCTTGTCCTAGGGAACTAAAACTGAGCACACCAGCAGCTTATTTTTTGAGGCCATCTGGTTGTGGTCAGTAGTCCAAGGACGTTCTGTGCTTAGTGAGAAGAGCTGCCCCGTGGGGTCAATGAGGTGCAGAAGGTGAAAATGGACAGGGTCTCCTGGAAGAGCCCTCTGGGAGGTGCCGGAAGCTCCAGCTGGGCCATCCTGACTCCTGACTGAGGAGCGGCTGTGCCAGCGCGGCATCCTTTCAGACGCGCAGCTGCTGCTGCTGCTGTTGCTGCTTGGCCAGACGAGTATGTGACAGTTTTGAGTCCACGTGTTTTCTTCTGGGCCCGCTAAATAGCATTTATCTTTATGTTTGGTATTTAGTTTTGAGATTTGCCTGTCTCTGTTTCTCCTGGAGCCGGATCGGGACTCCACACGGCAAGAGTCACCAGACGTGGGCGTGGGCACTGGTGATGGTGAAGGAGAGGTGTCCCTTCAGCGCGTAGTTGCCGTGTTTACTCCTTACCGTGTATGGGCACATTCCTGTAAGCTAGACGCGTAAAGATTGTGGGAAGGAGTCCACAGTTTGTATAAAAGCTGAGCTTTTTATTGTAAACCTTGTAAATTCAGATCAGGCTAAACAGGCCATATTTAATTGTATGGTAAGAGCTTTAACAGCGACCCAAGGAGCTGACTCTGGCCTCTCCAGGGAAGGTGTCTCCCGCTGCTGTGACTGACTTGCCTCTTTCCGTCTGTTTTCTCTTGGTCTCAACTTTTGCCTCTTTGGAAATAAGAGGCAGTTCTTTTTATATCACCCGTGTAAGTGTTGAAATTAGAGATTGTTTATAACAGGGGCTTGCTTTGAAACTAAAGGACTTTTTTCCTTTTTGAAAAAGTTGAAATTTTTTTTTTTTTATTATCGAAAATTTCCAGTACGAGAATGCAGAAAAATTTGTCTTAAGTTTTGAGAATGAAATGCAGCAAAGGATATTTTTGGACATGTATTTTTTTCGGCATGTTGAAACTCTTAAGATTAGAGTTCAAAACAGAGTAATAATTAGGTTCCAGGACCCAGGGAGACACATGGGAAAACCACGGCTCCTCCTCGGGTGCGTAAAATTGCCTCCTGTCTCCTGCTCTCCTTCGGGCTGGGTTTGCCGCTCTAGCTTCATCTCGTGCTCTCTGATGGCAGCTTTGATCTGGTTTAGCTCCCAGTGCAGCCAGTGCCGGTAACTGTAACTTTGTAGACCAGCTAACTAATCGGGTTTAGGATTCGTGCAGAATTTGTGTTGCAAAGATGTCATCTGATGCTGCGTTTGACCTCTGAGTGCTCCCCTCCAGCAGCTGGTCAGGCCTTTTATTGCTACAGGAGCTTCATGGTCAAGAGGCGTCGAGGCCAGATGCAGGCCTTGGGTAGGACAGCCGTGGTCAGCGCCCAGCTAGCATTGTCTCCTGCCCGGCTTGCTTGCCCATGGCTCCCACACCTGTCTGTCTGTTCCTCAAATGCGTCTTTTTCCTGGTCCTCCTACACCTGTCCTCTTTCTCGTGATCTAGCCGACCATCTTAGGGAAATGAGGCAAATCTAACATGTTTGAGTGCTCACGGTTTGGGTTTTGTGATCTTAATTTTAAAGGCAGGTGACATGAACTTGAAACGTTTTCAGTTTCTGAGTGTAGTTAAGAAAATAATGGTTAACGCACACAGCTTATGGCGTGCTACGCACAGTCCTAAGCATTTACGGATCTGAACGGCTGGTGTCTCCCAAGCGCCCTGTGAGGTATTTCATGCGGTCGGGGACACTCAGTCGTAAGAGGCATTGCTGTTTGCTCGCACGAGCCCGTGGGTTTTCTAGCCTCCTAGCGTACACGGCTGTTTTACATAGGGAGTACCGGGTGCTAGTTGTTCGTTTTGTCTTAAACTGGACATGGGGAAAGTGCCTGCTAATGGGTTCGCGTTGGGGGTGGGTCAGGGAAGGCTACTGCGGGTGTTTCCTACCCCACTTTCCTAGAGAGAGGCCGTCTTTGGTTAGCATTCTGCATTCTTCAAGTCTTTAAAATGTTGATTTAAGTAAAATCTTGCTTTATTTCCAGAAATGAATGGACATATCAGACAGGGGGAACATGAAGAGTTAAAATCTTCCTAATGTTTTCAAGTTTAAGTTTTGAGTTAACCCAGGGCCAGGATTTCTTTCATTCACAGTGGAACCATTTAGAGGATTCATTTTTTTATAGGGAAGTCGTTCAGTGTGGTAAACTAGCATATTAATGTTCTGCCTTCATCAGAAAAAAGTCATTGGTCCAATCTTCCACCCATACAGAACTGCTGGGGGACATTCTCAAGGACCGGCCTCAGGAGGCGGATGGGATTGACTCGGTGATCGTGGTTGACAATGTTCCTCAGGTGGGGCCCGACCGGCTGGAGAAGCTCAAAAACGTCATCCATAAAATCTTTTCCAAGTTTGGGAAAATCACAAACGATTTTTATCCAGAGGAGGATGGAAAGACAAAAGGGTGAGTGATGTTCCCCGCGGTCTTGGTCCCTGATGCCCTGTGGCTGTCGTCGGGCGGTATGGGAGTCGCTGTGGACACACAGGTGCACGCCTCACCTGGTGGTTCTGCCCCAGCCACTCTCGGCTGGGGTCTCTACACAGAGAGAAGGAGATCCGCGTGGTTCTTGAGTTTGGATGTTTGTGGGTTGCTTGCTAAATTCTTAAGAAATTGGAGCTTTGCGGGGCACCTGGGTGGCTCAGTCGGTTAAGCATCTGACTCTTAAGCTCCGCTCGGGTCATGATCTTACGGTTTCATGAGTTTGAGCCCCACAGTGCAGAGCCTGCTTGGGATTCTCTCTCCTCTGTGTCTCCCCCTCCCTCCCCCTCCCTCTCAAAATAAATAAACATTAGGGGTGCCTGGGTCTCTCAGTGCGTAAATGGCCAACTTCATTTCAGGTCATGATCTCGCCATTCGTGTGTTCGAGCCCCACATCAGGCTCAGTGCTGACAGCTCAGAGCCTGGATCCTGCTTCCGATTCTGTGTCTCTGCCGCTCCCCTGCTCGTGCTCTGTCTCTTTCTGCAAAGTTAAAACATTTTTAAAAATTTATAAAAAAAAATTTTTTAAGAATCCGGGATTTAAGTCTTCTGCCATCAGAACGATAATTGACGTGATCCATCCTGGATGAAGGGCCCGACAGATAGGAGGCTGGCAGGATTTCAGGACAATTTGACATGCGGTGTTCTGTTGATTCTAAGATGAGCTTTTTTTTTTTTCTTTCACGTGGTAACGTCTCTGAAATGGGGTTACTTCTAACAGTCTAGGTGAAAGCCTTGTGCCACTGCTTAATTAGCAGCTTTTTTTCCCCCCAACTGTTGCTTAAAATAGTGCATCTTTTAAAAACGGTAGCATATGGTATGTGTCCTGGAGTTTGCTTTTCAAACTCAATACGAGGTTTTCTGTGTCAGAAAACCTTTCGTGTCAGACCTTCTCTGTTAAAATTTCACATGATACTGGTCTTGGAGAGTGTAGGCAAATTGTCTTTTACAGGACAGGAACGTGAAGAGTGAAGATACTGTGTTTTTTAATTCCGGTAGTTTTGAAGCTATCTTGGATAGTTTTATTTTTACTTTTACTTTATTTTTTAATTTTTTTAAATCTTGGGTAGTTTTTTAAAAATTTTTCTTAACATTTATTTATTTTTGAGAGAGAGAGAGAAAGAGAGTGACAGACCATGAGCAGGGGAGGGGCAAAGAGAGAGGGAGACACAGAATCCGAAGCAGCTCCAGGCTCCGAGCTGTCAGCACAGAGCCCGACAAGGGGCTCGAACACGCGAACCGGAGATCATGACCCGAGCTGAAGTCAGATGCTCAGCCGACAGAGCCAGCCGGGCACCCCTAGCTTGGATAGTTTTAAAGAAATTGGTTTTTTTAAGAAAGTGGGTAATGCTCCTCACGCTGTTTCCTTCAGAAACTAGGTGGAATAATGACCTTTGTGACCCCCCGCTTGCTTGTATTGTAGGTGTTGAAATGAAGCATTCTCTGAAAGTCTTTATCATTTTGCTTTTAATATACTGTATCAGACTAATCCCGTTCTTGGATTTTTCCCTTGCTTTACTGAGAAAGTTGACATACAATAGACTTGTATAGTCTCAAAGTGGGTCACGTCATAAGTTCTGACACATGTACATTTGTGAAACCCTTTCCACAGTCAAGCTAGTGAACGTTTTGATTCATCGTTTTCTGATTTGTGATTGTGGCGTTAGACTTTGGATCTCCCATTAGGGTTTCGTTTGCGTTTAAGGAACCACCGCCGGCAGCTTGACCCTCGGGGATGTGGCGGTAGACGGGGCATTGGCCTTGACGGCATTTACTGGGCGGGTGGACGGGTGCTCGTAAGTGGCACACGGCCCACCCGGTCTTACAGGCCGCACTCCTGCAAGATGTTCTGTCCTGATTCAGGTACACGTTCCTGGAATACGCCTCCCCTGCCCATGCCTTGGACGCCGTGAAAAATGCAGACGGCTACAAGCTGGACAAGCAGCACACATTCAGGGTCAATCTCTTCACTGACTTTGACAAGTAAGTCCTGGCTCCACAGGCGTGAGTGGCTCAGCGGGTCTGGGGTGGTGCCATCAGCCTTTCAGGGAGCTCCGTTCTCCGGGCACGTCCCGACCCCTGATGTTCCTGGCCGGTAGCACCCCTCGCCCACTATCACGTGGTGGGGGACAGGGGCACACACCGCCTGCTGTTGAGAGCCGCCCACGGAGTCGCCACCCTGTTCCCTCCCCCCTTGTAGTTGTGCCACGTGTTCCTAAAGGGCAGCTCCTCTGTTGCAGGTATATGACGATCAGCGACGAATGGGATATTCCAGAAAAACAGCCCTTCAAAGACTTGGTACTTGGGTGCACTCCGCCCGCGATTGGGAAGAGCAGGGGTGGCTTCCCGGCCAAGTCGGTCCCACCTCCGGGAGCACTAGTCGGGGGCCGGCTCCGATCACGGTCGATGAGACGTGTTCTGTCCCTTGCCTTGGGTTCCTTCTCTAGGGAAACTTGCGTTACTGGCTCGAGGAGGCAGAGTGCAGAGACCAGTACAGTGTCATCTTTGAGAGTGGGGACCGTACTTCTATCTTCTGGAACGACGTGAAGGACCCTGTCTCCATAGAGGAGAGAGCGGTAAGTAAGCGTGGCCACCCCGCGGGGCCTCCCTCTGTGTTTCCTTAGCGGGGAGCTAGGGGCCAGAGCGGGTGGACGTCCTCTTCTCCGAGATCACCCCTCGCCACGACATCCTCCGCTCTTGTGGTTTTGGAATGAGCCCCGAGACGTGAGCGGGCGTCTCGTGTTTTTCAGTGAAGAGTCCGAGGAGTAAATCCTCGTGGCAGCGGGAGGCTCTGTGCCGGCTCTCTGCGCTGGTGTTAACACGGGCCCTGACTTTTCCCACAGAGATGGACAGAGACCTACGTGCGCTGGTCCCCCAAGGGCACCTACCTGGCCACGTTCCACCAGCGAGGCATAGCTCTCTGGGGGGGAGAGAAGTTCAAACAGATCCAGAGATTCAGCCACCAGGGGGTTCAGCTCATTGACTTCTCGCCTTGTGAGAGGTAAGCAATGCGCCCTCGCTTTGTGCCGGCCGCTACAGGTTACCGTAAAACGTACTTGGCAGCAATTCCAGACTTGGCGGAAGTGTTGCAGCAGGGAACTTCCTGGGAGGCGTTTGCTGGTGTCCGCTGTGTCATTTGTGCACGCGGACACACCTGACTTTCTCCAGAGCCACTGGGAGTGAGTTGATGTGTCCCTTTCTAGGGGTAGGGAATTCTCTTAGCTGAGTGTCCCCAGTGGCGCTGCAACCTTCTGGAAATGTAGTGTTGATCTGCTACTTTCAGTGAAGTCCTGCTGTGTTCCGATTTCTTCCAGTAATGTTCTTTGTAAAACTTGAGTCCCTTCGGTTTAGGATCTAGCCTTAAAGGCTGGGTACCGTGCCTGGAATTTTCTTATGAACGGCGTTTCCTCATGTGGGAGATGGCAGAGGGCTGCGGGACCAGGTGGGGCGCCGGCAGCTTCACGGGCTCCGCTCCCGCAGCCTGGCCTCCATGTCCGTCCAGGGCTTTGCTGCCCAGAATGCCCCCCGCTCTCCTGCCTTGTGCCCCTGCTCGGGGCTGTCCCCGGGCCTTACCTGTGGTGTCCCCTTTTCTTACCGCATGGTCTGAGTGCATTGTGGATTCACGACGGTTCCTGGTGTCCCAGGGCTCCTGAGACGTGGCTCTGTGTTACCTGGTTTGCTTTCTGAGTTTTTTTGGTAGAAGATTTTCCTCACGCCTGGAAAACTAACGTGAATACTTCGATAGCATCCCTGTGCTAATTCTCTAGCTTTAACGATTTATGACTTTGCTGTATCTGTTTCAAATTTATTTTCGCTATTGGGGCACCTGGGTGGCTCAGTCGTTTGAGCGTCTGACTCTGGATTTCAGCTCAGGTCCCGATCTCACAGTTCCTGAGTTTGAGCCCTGCATCGGGCCCTGCGCTGACATTGTGGAGCCTGCTTGAGATTGTCTGTCTCCACCTCTCTCTGCCTCTTTCCCACTGACTCGTGCGCGTGCGCTCTCTCTTTCTCTCTTCCTCTTTCTCAAAATAAAATGTTAGAAAAACAAAAAAGAGATCTTGAGCGTTTTGAAGAAATGCTGGTGTTTGTACGGAAGTGCGTCAGTCCAGATAAAGGTGTCTTTCCCTGGTGATCGTGGCTCTTCTCTCCCACCTGAAGCGCCGACGTTTCCCTAACTGCTGCTGCTGCCCTACGTACTGCGGTTTCCCCCTTGGTCTCCCCCATCGCTGTCGTTTGCAGCTTGTTGTTCAAACCAGGGGCAGGGCCTGTGTGTTCAGCCCTCCTGCCGCCCCGGCCCGTTACCCTGCCCTCACGCCCTCCCTGTGCTGTCCTTTGATGGTGGCCCCTGAGGAAGATGGGGCCGGGTGGATGTGTCTCATGACTGGCTTGAGCTGTCCCGTCACCGGTCCCCTCCACCTTGGTGTTTCCTGTAAACGGAAGTTTCTACGTGACGTTTCTTACATCTGGGAAGATAGGTTTACGGAGCGTGTTCTTGGAGGACTCAAGATTCACAACCGCTTTGCATCTGTTTGGTACATAACACTTGACGTTGTATTGTGGCAGTGGTGCACGCGGGGACCCCTGGTCGCGCGCCGCGTGGCGTGTACGCGGAGGAGCCGCCCCGGTCCGGCCGGCGGTGGGTTCCACCTGCCTTCTAGACTTCCCGTATCCGCTTGTGGTTTATGTGTGTAGACACACGTGTCTGTCTGCTCGGGGACCGGACCTGGACCGTCCCTTACTCATCGCTGTATCTCTGGTGCTCCGCAAAGCGCGTGACACGTGACACAGGAGTCGGCGAGTGCACGCTTCAGCCCTCCGGGGTGTTTTTCAGTTCAGTGCTCCGCAGTTCACTCCGCAGTTCAGTTCAGCTTCCGTAGTTCAGCGTGACGGTCACACTGCCTTGTAGGTGTGTGGAGTGGGTCTGTAGAGGGAACCTCATGGCTCGTAGGGAGTGACTGCAGCCTGGCGTCAGCGTCTTGAGCGCCAGGAGGCTCTCCTGGGCGGGGCCTGTTGCTGTCATTCCTCGTCGAGTGTTTCTGCCTTTCCTGGGTCCTGTGAGGGAGCAGTCTATTTCGATACTTGCACTGTGTGTGAGCAGGGTGAGGCGGTGCCCTGGGTGTAGACGAGCCCGCTGTTGGGTGAGTGAGAAGCCCCAGGCGCAGAAGTGGTGTTAGAAGTGTGCTTGCTTTTGAAACACGTGGCTGGCTGTTGAGGTCCCCTCCTCGTCCCAGGCAGACCTCGACAAGGAGCACGGGGAACGGCACCCCGCCCCTCCCGGAGCGCACACGCGGGCTTCGGTCTGGGATCTGCTGCGTCTTTTCTTGTCCTGATTCTGTGGGGAAACGCGTGGCCTGGTCCAGGAGGGACTGTGTGCCTTGTGCCCCGGAGGGGGTCAGCTCCGGGGTTTGGAGCGAGTACTGGTGGCAGGAGCCCTGACTGCATCGTCGGGAAGTCTCACCATGCCTCGAGCTACCTGGAGCGGAGGCCCGAGCGGATGCTCACCCCATCCGCCCCCAGCCTGGCGCTCCAGGGCGAATGGTGGGACGGTGGCGGGGGTTCTAAACCGGGTCCGCTCTGTTACAGGTACCTGGTGACTTTCAGCCCCCTGATGGACACTCAGGACGATCCTCAAGCCATCATCATCTGGGACATCCTGACCGGGCAGAAGAAGAGGGGCTTCCACTGTGAAAGCTCGGCCCATTGGCCCATTTTTAAGTGAGTAAATGCGGGGTAGTCAGCGGCCACCTCGTCGTGGCCATTTCTCCTGACCGAGCCCGGGGCTTCTGTCCTTCTTTTCAGGTGGAGCCACGATGGTAAATTCTTTGCCAGAATGACACTCGACACGCTTAGCATCTATGAAACTCCCGTAAGTAGCGTAGGTTCCTCAGCGGTCCCTGCTCCGTCGGGAGCTGCTGGGGGCGCCTGTTTCCCTGTGTCACGGGTTGGGGGGACGGGGAGAGCAGCTGTCCTTATGCAGAATCGGGGGGGAGCTGGGGGCGCCTTTCCCGTCCTGTCCCTGGGGGTCTCCCTGCTGGTGCTGCTGCCAGGAGTCTGGGACGGGAGTAAACAGAAGGGGCCTCGGAGACGGGTGCCTCGCTGCTGTCGGTGGATCGGTTTGTTACGTGCCCCCCGCCGGGTTTATGCCAGGCTCATTCCAGAACCTCGTTTGCTTTCTCTGAAAATTTGCTCGTGTCACGGAGACCACAGTGTGATTTGACTCCGTTGTGACCCTCATTTTTCCACAGTCTATGGGTCTTTTGGACAAGAAGAGTTTGAAGATCTCTGGTATAAAGTAAGTGACCATGCTCACCAGGTGGGGCTTAGCCAGCTCCCCCCTTTGGCCCCGCGCGCTCACACAGCGGGAGGAGGCGGCGTGGACTTGGTCTGCAGACGGCAGGCTCTTGGCTATCACCCGCGGGCCTCGTGGCCACTCTCCCTCCTTATGCCCGGCGACCCTTGTGGCGGGGGGGGGGGGGGGGGGGGGCAGCGCAGGCTTGGCTCTAGCCAGGCGTCCTGTCCCTGCCTTGGAGCTGGAGCCTCGGGCTGCAGTCTTCGAGGGAGACGGGCTGGAGGGGGCTGGAAAGGGTTTCCGTGCGCTCTGTGGTCCATGCAGCGCTTCGATGGCCTTCGGCGAGCTGCCCGGGAGGCACGTGTGTGTGCGCGCGCGCGCGTTCTGGGGGCGGCCCGTGTGCGGAGGAGCACCCGTGGTGTGGGGACGTGAACGCTCTCGGGCACAGCTGTGGCTCATGATAAAAACTAAACCGGGAATCGATTCTACGCAAACAAACAGTAATGGTAGACTCTGTGGGTCTGAGCTGGCGAATCGTGTGGGCGCCTGGCCTGGAGGTGCCTGCGCGGCGGGGGGCATCGTGCTCTCGCTTTGGGGTCATCCCGCGCCCTCTGGGTGGGTTTCCCTTCAGCCCCGTAGTGAGTCTCGGGCGTCACTCGGGGTCCGGAGACCGCAGCTCCCCCCTCGCCCTGCAGCCGCGAGCTGTGGTGGCCGAGGGCCAGGTCGGGGCTCAGGGGCGTCTGCCGCGTGGCGGCCGGGAGCCTCACCAGCGTCTCTCCCCGCTGGCACAGCGAGTGCAGTGACGCTCCGGGTGGCAGGGGACCAGCTCTCGGGGAGGGTGGGCTGCCGCCCTGGAGGGTGAGCCCGTGTCCGTCGCGCTTCCTTCCTGTCGGCGACCTGCCGGTCCTTGGGCAACACCGGCTTTCTTCGTTCTGCAGAGACTTCTCTTGGTCTCCCGGTGGGAACATCATAGCTTTTTGGGTGCCTGAAGACAAAGACATCCCGGCCAGGGTGACCTTGATGCAGCTTCCTACCAGACAGGAGATCAGGGTCAGGAATCTCTTCAATGTGGTGGATTGCAAGCTACATTGGCAAAAAAACGGAGATTACTTGTGCGTTAAAGTGGACAGGACCCCGAAAGGTACCCAGGTGAGTGGACGCCCCGAGCAGAGGCCGTGCCTTGCAGCTCCAAGCCGGCCCTCCCCCCGCCCCGCTGAAGCTGCTGACGCGGTCTCTGTCCGAGCCCGTGGGTCACTCTCAGACCCGCCAGTTAGAGGCAGTGGTTAGCGGGCGTGTCCTCACTAGAGCTCTCGTTGCCTTGCCACTGAGGTGCAGGAGACCTGTGGGCACAGTTTACAGGTCACGGGGATGCAGTGTTGTCTCCGGGCACCGGCCTGCCTTCTCAGGAGACGGGAAGCCAGTGTGTCCTCTCCGTTTCTTTCTCAAGCACAAAGAGGAGCGTGCTGGGCGCAGTTCTGCTCCCCGATTGGTTTTATTTGCATCATTTATGAGTTCTTCGTCCCGACGGGAGCGTTTCTGCTCCTCTTTACGGAACAGCCTGGAGACTGAGTCCCTGCACTGTAGCGCTCGCCCTCGAAACGCACAGTTAGTGGCTTTTTGGTACATTCACTGACTCATGTGGCCGTCGCCACGGTCAGAACTCGAGAGCATTTCTATTACCCACAAAGGCAAGGAACTCCGCACCCATCGGCACCACTGCCCTCTCTGGCGCGCTCCTGTACCCGCCGCTCTGCCTTCTCTCCGTCTGGATCCGCCAGCCCGGGACGCTTGCTGGGAAAGAAGTCCTGCAGCATGTGGCCTTCGTGGCTGGCGGCCCTCACCGAGCACGTCCAGGCTTATCCGGGTCATGGCAGGTGTCGGTGCCTCCCGCCTGCTCAGGGCCAAGGGACGCGGCTGCCCTTATGTGCCTTCATCTGTGGTGGGCACTTGTTTCCATCTTGGCTGTTGGGAATCAGCACCCGGGTCTCTGCGCGGGAGTGCCTCAGGGGGACGCTGCAGGGCATTGCGCTGTTTCCAGATAGTTCATTCCTGCCCCGTTGGTGGGTATCGGCGCTGTGGGAGTTCTGCAGACACGCTCCTGCCCGTGCAGAGCCCTTTCCGTGCAGGGGCATGACCTTGTGCATGCAGGCCCTCTCCTTGCAGGGGCGTGACCCTGGGGCAGCTCTCCAAAGCAGAACGCGGGCCAGAGAGGGAGTCGGCTGTCCCCTGCAGGGACCGCGCCCGTGCACTTCCATCGGTGCTGTCGTGACGGTTGCACTTTTAGTCACTTGACGTGTCTGTGTGTCCCAGCTGTGTACATTTCGTTGGTCGCCAGGTTGACTTGTTCTTGACTTAAGCATTTCTCAAGTTTTCAGTTTCTGTGAGTTCATCCCCTTTTTTTCTCCTGAACAGGGCGTTGTCACGAATTTTGAAATTTTCCGAATGAGGGAAAAACAGGTGCCTGTCGACGTGGTGGAAATGAAAGGCAAGTTCCGTTGTTCCTTCGTGAGCGAGTGGCCCTCGCGTGCAGCCCCCGCTCGGCCTTGGCCCTCGCGTGCAGCCCCCGCTCGGCCTCGGCGCTCCCCAGGCTCCCTACCTGAGCAGGGTACTCGCAACCCTGATTGGTACGTGCTGTCGGCCTGCGAGCCCGCCCGTTTAGGGTTCCTTTGGCCCTTTCTGGCCTCGGTCCCCACTTCTGGCTGCCATGAGAGTATGTCCCGGTCGCTCTGCACATCCACGCCGGCCGGTTTCCCGCTGAGAGGCTGTGCCGGGAATGGGTTTTCATGACACTCTGAGCGCCCAGCAGCAGGAGGGTCATCCGCTGGCAGCCGCAAGTTGTTGGCTGACTAGGGCTCTTTTCTGGGCCTGTGAAAGCCGCTCAGATCCCCCGTTTCTGCCTCTAGATGGGAAACGTAGCCTGTGTCGTTGGTCGTGTGTGGTGTTCTACTTTTGTTCTCTGTTTTGCTGCGGACAGGAGGAGAAGGGGGCGGGGAGCACAGAATGAGAACGTGGGTACAGGCTCACCACCCTGCCTTGTTAGCCCTTGGGGGGCCGTGGAGTCCCCCCTCCCCCCGTGAGCGCTCCAGCAAGCGGGAGTCCACGGGTTGTGCTGGGCATCGGGCCCAGGCCCCGCTGTGGTGGGCATCAACGGAGGTGGCGGTCCCACGTGGCCAGAGTCTCCCATGAGTCGCTCGCACGCTCGTCCTTAGGCCTGGCGGGTGGTCCTTTTAGTGAGTTTAAGGATTTGGGGTGTTTCTCTGGTTGAACAGCAAAGACTGTGCAGGAATGTTGCCTGATCGGGAGCGTTGCTTTATTACATGACCTGAGGGGCTTATTCTTTTTCCTGACACTAGAAACCATCATAGCTTTTGCCTGGGAACCCAACGGGAGCAAGTTCGCAGTGCTGCACGGGGAGGCTCCTCGGATATCCGTTTCCTTCTACCACGTGAAGAACAATGGGAAGATTGAACTTATCAGTAAGTAGCCTCCCCCTTGGCAGACGGACAGACAGACGGATATGCACTGGGGACAGAGCCCCGTCCTCGCTCCACATGCGTGTTCGGCTGGCTGGGAACCGCTGCTTAGGCCGCCCCACAGCCGAGAGGGTCCCTGCGGCTCAGGCCTCACGTGCTTCCAGCCCACAAAGACCTGGCCTCTGGGAGGGAGCCCCTGCCCTCTCTCCCAGCCCCGGCCCTTCACAAGAGGGCTTCTGAGTGGAGGTGGTCTCCCTCTTGTAACCACAGCTGGTGTCTCTGGGCTGGGGGCCCCGCCTCCCCACCATGCTCTGCTCTGCCTGTGTGCGAGGCAAGCAGGGTCCTGGCCTCTCTCAGCAGGGCCCCTCGTGCACAGCTTCCTCACAGGAAAGACAGCGGGTTGGTTCGGTATCTGATGGTTCAGGTGCGGAGCTTGTCTTGAGAGAACTCCGCTGAACTCAGCTTTTACCTCCTGAGCTCAGTGGTGTTTGTGGTAGAACCGTTCTGGGGTAGGTCGGTGGCAGCCGCAAAGCTGACCGCGTCATTAATTCCCTGCCACAGATGAGGAAGTAGGAGTCGTTATGGGCTCCCAGATCTGCACTGTCTCATTAGGAAGTAGGTTTGCAAATGGCCAGCGTCCAAGTGCCTTCCATCCCTGAACGCCCTGTTACCCACCTTGGAAGGTCGCATGTCCATGCTGGGACAATTTTGTGTGTTCTGTTAACGCGCGTGGTTGTTAACGGACAGCTTACAGTTTCTGTTCCTCCTTTGTTTGGTCTGAGAATCCTGTCCTTTGGATGGTGTCACCCTCCTCACGTCTCCCTGTCCCCGCTGGGCCCCCCGTCCTTGGATCCCCTGCAGGCCGGGACCAGGCCCCAGGGGGTCCACTTTGCATCCTCCAGGGAAGAGACCCTAGCGTGCAGCCTGAGCCTTAACGGTCTCTCTCCAGGGGCTCTGCCGGCCCCTCGTGGGATGTGAGCCTCAGGGTGTTGGGCAAAGTAGCAGCTTTCAAACGACTTGTGACTACAGAGTTCAGAGGGTGTTGGAGTCCCTGAAGGGTGGGTCTTGGGCTTTCTTGGGTGATATGCGTCTCTCCACGTCTGGTGGGGGGTGTGGGTTTCTCGCCCTCGTGTGGAGACCCCGTGACCCCATGACAGTTTTTACGGTGAGTCCTCTGTGCAGTTTCCCTGGGAAGTAGGTCGCTCCAAACATGAGATGTTACTACAAATCGTATCGTAGCTTCAAGGTATCTCCTTTTTCCTTTTGTGTTTGAACCGTAGGTCATAACTTAAAAACGTACCCAGACGATGGGTTTTCCAAAATGTTTTCTCCGGGAGGAACCAGGCGTGGGGAGCACATGTGGATGTCCGCCCACTGAGGCCGCGTGAACCCATCACCCGCCCCTTTACAGACTTCTAACAGCCGCTCTCTTTGCTTTCAGAAATGTTTGATAAGCAGCAGGCAAATACCATCTTCTGGAGCCCCCAGGGACAGTTTGTCGTGTTGGCTGGCCTAAGGAGGTGGGTTCCTACTGTCTGCTGCCTTCTGCGTGTCCTGAGCCACGCTTGTGGGCCTCACGGGTCAAGCTCCGGGTTCGGAACCATCACAGTGGTCCCTTTAGCGTGATGGGGCACGTGTCCTGCACGAAAGGACCATCCTGTCTTGCTCAGACTCGGGTGTACCCCAGGTCGGGCAGAACCGGTCCTGCAAGTGTGTTCCGGGTGCGCCTGGAGGACGTGCGAGTGTTGTCATTTCCTCGCGGTTAGGTGAGCCGTCTTGGTGGCAGGGCAGCGAGCCTGGTGTAAACCCCCTCCTCTGGCGGGAGGGCTGTGTGAGCTCGGAGCCTGCCTCCGTCCAGGGTGACCGAGGGGCGGGTGGCGTCCCCCCGCCCCCCGTCCTTGGCCGTCCGGCAGCCGTGGGAGCGCATGAGCAGAATAGGCTCCGGTTGTTCAGTGTTCTGACTTCATTGGAGGTGTTTTGGGGGCTTTGGCCTCTGTCTTCTCTGAAAGCAGTCCTGGCAGGCGTACGAGGTGCCGTGTGCACTTCCCCTGTCTTTGTTCACGACACCCTTGGGCCGTGGCTCCTGGATTAGTTCTCCTCAGCAGCCAGGCAGCGGTAGGGGATGCCCGGGGCTCTCCTGTGTCCTGCCCTGGAGTCTGCAAGGAGCGAGGCGCCATGACGGCCTGTGTGGACTGACCGTGTGCTCTGTCTCCCCAGTATGAACGGCGCCTTGGCCTTCGTCGACACTTCGGATTGTACGGTCATGAACATCGCGGAGCACTACATGGCGTCCGATGTGGAGTGGGACCCTACCGGGCGCTACGTGGTCACCTCTGTGTCCTGGTGGAGCCATAAGGTACGGGGCCCCGGGTAGCCCGCGCGCAGCATGAGACCCTCCTCCCCTCCCGGGTTTCCTCGGGGTCGCCCTGCGGTGATTCTTCAGTTGCTCTTTGCTGCCACTGCCCCAAAACCCTCGCCAGCAGAGCGCCCGAGCAGCCGGCCTTGCCGTGCGTGAGTCGCCCGGCGTTCCTGGATTTCTTCCCCAAGTCAGACGTCTTACACTCACTGCGGCCTGAGCCTAGGCCGCCTTCCTCTGGCGCAGTAGCCGGGGAGCTTCTCCCAGTGGGAATCGGGTTGGGTGGTTTGCCCCGCAGTTCAGAGCCACGCTGTCCTGTGGCTTGGAGGTGGAGGGAGGACGTGCCGTACTGCGCACACAGTTTCCCAGCACGATTTTTCCACGCTCAAGAAGCTTGTGGTTCAGAGGAGCCCTGTCTGCCCAGCCCACCGGGCCCTCGGTGAGGCGGCCTCTGCCTGCTCCCCCGCTCCCCTAGGAGCATGCACGCACTGGGCTGGCTCCTCCCAGGCGGCTCATTTGCTCCTCCCTGCCTGGAGCGGGCCTCCTCCGCGGGCAGCACCCGTCCCACCCTGCACTGTCTCCACAGTGCGCTCACGGGCTCGAATCCATCTCGGGGGCTGGTCGCAAGTTCATTTCCTCTCCCGAGAGTGGAGGGTTGTGTGGGCAGGGGCCTGTTCCCTGGCGTGTGGTCCCTGTTCTGTCCCGGTTTGCCGTCTGAGCAGGAGCTACCAGGGAAAAGGCTGCTGAGGCTAGGGTTTGAGGTCTGGGACTCCCCGAGAGGACACGAAAGCACGTGTGAAGGAGCCCGTTTCTTAGTCTCGAACGTCGGTAGCCTGAAGGACTGGAGAAACGCCGTGCTCCGTGGATGTGCGAGCCTGTGTGTGGTGCACGTTCCGCGTGGTGTCTGCATGCCGGAGTGTCCGTGGCAGTGCTCCAGGCTCAGTGCTCCAGGCTCAGTGCTCCTGAGCTGCAGGGGGTGGGGGCCTCTGCCGAGCGTCTGCTCTGTTACTGTTTTTTATCAACGGAGGTTCTGAGAGTTGAACCAGCTCCTGCGAGTCCACGGCCTAGGAGGTCGTATCCGGGCGATTCCGTTTAACAAAAGAACAACGTTCTGGGAGCCCAGACTCAGCAAACGTCACCATGCTGTCTTAAGGACAAGCTCTGTACTCACTTCGCGGTGATTGAGCCGTGTGTCTAAATTTGAGCACCGTCTCCGTGAGGCCCACCTTGGGCCTCGTTAAAAAATCTTTTAGGCCGTGGGCCCCTCCGTTAGATCCCAACGCGCTCCCAAAATGCTGGTCTGGGACCAGCTCACGCCAGCATGTAGCTTGAGGTCCCGCTTCCTTCATCCAGAAGGTAGTGCCGCGGAAAAGATGTCAGCCGAGCCGAACAGTGTGTTTAGTGACTTTGTCAGTGTACGTTCTGGTATGAGTTCTCCATTGCGGATCAGCAACGGAGCCAGTGCTCCGTGACGCCCTTCGTAGGTACTCCGCGCCATGCTCTGTGACACGGGTAGCATTCTGTCGTGTTTGTTGACGGTGTTCCCCTGCTGCGTGAGCTCCCGAGAAGCAGAGATCTTTGATTCACTGCTGTCTCCCAGATACCACACCGTCGGTCGTTGGCTCTTAAACAGCCGTCGGAGGAGCGCTTGACTTGGGTGGCCCTGTGAGGGGCCCCCGCGTCTCGCTGTGACGGGGTGGCGAGCAGCGCTTTGCCCTCTGCCCCCATGCAGGTGGACAACGCTTACTGGCTGTGGACTTTCCAAGGACGTCTTCTGCAGAAGAACAACAAGGACCGTTTCTGCCAGCTGCTGTGGAGACCTCGGCCCCCCACGCTCCTGAGCCAGGACCAGATCAAGGTCTGGGGCCCCGGGGTCAAGGAAACGTGGAAGCCTCTTTTCCATCACTGCTGCTGGGGCGGTAACGAGGGGGGAATGGGAGCATGACGTTTTCGGGTGCCTTTGGAAGAGCGGTGGGAACACTGGGAAGCCAGTGGGAATAGTTTCAGTGTTGTGAATGTGGGTTTTCGGGCCGTTCCTGCCGCATCCGTGCCCTCCGTGGACGTTGGCGTGAGCTGGAGGGGATGAGCGGGTGCTGGGGGCTGGTGAACCGCGCTGGCAGGATTGAGGGGGGCCCTGAGCAGGGCCTTTTTAATTTGTTGAGACAAAAACAAACACAAGCCAGTCAGGATTTAAACATTCGAGAGGCCCTGAGAAAGGAAGAGCGTGAGAGGGGGAGGGCAGAGAGAGAGGGAGACACAGAATCCGAAGCAGGTTCCAGGCTCCGAGCTGCCAGCACAGAGCCCGACGCGGGGCTTGAGCTCACAAACTAGGAGATCGTGACCTGAGCCGAAGTCAGACGCTTAACCGACTGAGCCACCCAGGTGCCCCTCGAATGTTTAAATCCTGACTGGCTTGTGTTTGTTTTTGTCTCAGCAAATTAAAAAGGATCTGAAGAAATACTCCAAGATCTTTGAACAGAAGGATCGTCTGAGCCAATCCAAAGCCTCAAAGGTTAGCTTGGTCTTAGGACTGTGGGAAGTGCCACAGGCGGCCACTGTCCCTCTCTGACATGGAAGGGACAGTGTCAGGCCCTGGGAGGAGGGGGGACAGGGAGGTGCTTGTCCGCTGCCCACGTGCACAGACTGGCCTTCCAGGTGTGTGTGAGGGGAAGGAGGAGGGTGTGCCCTCCGTTCTTGTCCTGGGGCGGGGGTGGGGGTTGGTTGGTGGTGGTGACTGCCGACCTCAGTCCTCGTTGTGGCGAGGGGGCCGTCAGCCCCGTGACCTTCCCACTTCCGCACACAGGAACTAGTGGAGAGAAGACGCACCATGATGGAAGATTTCCGAAAATACCGGAAAATGGCCCAGGAGCTCTACATGGAGCAGAAAAATGAACGTTTGGAGTTGCGAGGAGGTAACCGTTAGCTGGAGATGTGTTTTGTTAGGACAGGACTGTTGAAACATTTTTCTCCCTCTTGTGTGGGCTTTCCAGTTAAGCGTCAGGTGTTTTTGTCAAAGAACCCAGTTTGCTACGGCCACAGGTTAACGTGCACTGTCCTGTGTGGAGGAGGCTGGAGTGGGCGCACGTGGGCACATGCCCACGTGTCCCCACCCTCCCCGAGTGGGCTGTCTGCACGCCACGTCACTTCCCTCCCCTCCCCGCAGGCGTGGACACGGACGAGCTGGACAGCAACGTGGAAGACTGGGAGGAGGAGACCATCGAGTTCTTCGTCACCGAGGAGATCATCCCCCTGGGCAATCCGGAGTGACCTGAGCAGCGTGGTAAGACCTCTTCAGACGGGGACGAGCCACACCCAGACGCGGGCCCGTCTCTTGTGTTGTGCTGTCCCTTCGCTGAGAAAAGAGCCAGGTTCACGTTCTCAGGGTCGGCGGGCCCTTTTCATGGAACCTGTAAGGGTCAAGTGCACACCCTGGCTGTCCGAGGTGGGGCTCTGTTCTGAACACGGCGGGACCTTGAGCCCCGGATTTAGGGAACGTGCCCCTCACGTGGGCTGTGGTCGTGGGTGAGAGGCGGGGCTGGGGAAGAGGAGGGAGGCCAGCCGCAGCGTGCCGGGAAAAGGCCTCGGCGTGCCCAGCAGAGACAGGCCTGTGGGTCTGAGATGGGAGCCTCCGGAGCACAGGCGGGCTTCCTCGGCAGGCGAGCGAGGGCAGCGTTGTGTGCGGGGCGGCCAGCGGACGGGGCTCTCTCCCTCCCTTCCGGGGCTCCTGCTCCTGGTCATCTCTGGCATCAGGCGGGAGAGCCTCGGGTCCCTTCCGTCTTCTGAGATCGTACGCCCTGTGCCTGCCGTCGGGGCGCACCTTCCGCAGAAGCCCTTGCTAATGTCCGTCTCGTCATCGCGATGCAGGGCAGAGAGTAAACACCTGATCCTTCTTGCAGCGTCCCCGGGGCTCGTGCTGGAATGAGGTCGTCCTTCTGCAGAAAGTGCGCACGATGCCTGCGTTTTACCTGTGCTTTGTCTCGCTCCACACTGTGCGCCCGGATTCTCCCATGCCCACACGTCGCTGTGCCTTCAGTCCCCGGTCCCCACCATGGGGGAGGTTTCAAGGCACCCCTTTCCTTTTCTCTCGTTTGGGGTTTTTAAAGTCATGCCACCAGTGTTTGTTACTCAGACTCGTGCGCGGCAGGGGCGCGCCCAGCCGTCCCCCTCCGAGAACTCGTCCTGTCCCGTGGTGGGGGGCCAGCGTGGCTGTGTCGTGGAAACAGGGGAGCCGCGCCATTCAGGTTGTGCTAGGTTCTCAACAGGCTGAGCGTGGAAATAAAAACAAACCTGTATGAAAAAGCTGTCTTTCTCCTCTCTTTAACGTAGACACCGGCCTCGAACTTGGTTCCTGTGCCCCCTCCCCCTGTGGTGGTGGCCCTCCCACCTCCCGATTTGGTTGTGTTTTCTCAGCTGAGCTCTGCAAACTAAAGCATCGGTCTGATCGGTGCAGAAAAACCGTTCTTGCAGCATTTTTTTTGTTTTCCACACTTGTCTGACCTGGTGAGAAAGACTTTTCTAGACTTCCTTGGAGTCCTACAAGTTAAGTTGTTCGTGAGAGTTGTCACTTTAGCCGCCGTCACGTGGTCGTCTTTGACTATTTAACTTGATTTCTCTCCTGAGAAGGGAGTGAGCAAATCCACGTAATTTCAGCCCCTGTTGATTTGCAACGTCCACTACCCATTGGTGCCTTGTCAGACTCCACCGCGCCTCCTCTTTGTGTCTCTGGGAGCCGAGAGCCTGGGTCAAAACGCACAGAACGGGCTCGCTGCGCTTTCACGGCCGTGGTGCCCATGAACTTGACACATTGGGATTGGAGGAGAAGCTGTCGTCCGTGGGGCAGAAGCAGCTCGGGGGCTGGGGCCGCCTGCCGCCAACCCCACGCCCCCGACTGCGAGGCGGCACTGGGCGCTCTCCCCAGTCCCCGGTCATGTCCGTCCACACACGGTGTCCAGTGCTTCTTACTGGCTCTCACACCCTTTAAGCCTCAGCGTGCAGAGACCTGGCTTTTTAATTTGATGACGGTAAGAAGGAAAAGGCTCATGTTTTGATCATGTTCACAGATTTTTAACAGCTTTCAAAAAATTTACTTTCGACTGTTTCCGACTCGGTAGTTGTAATTGTTTTATGTGATTTGTTAATAAAAGAATTTCTGAAACACCTGGTTTGTTTCTCTCTCTCGTGCTCTGGAAGTGGGTTTCCCAGGGCCAGCCCCAGGGAGAGAGTGTTCCTGATCCTTCCTGTGGGGGCGGGGCGTCCCCCTCGCTCTGGCTTCTTTGGCTGGGGCATCAGGGTGGGCGCTGGCCCCAGCCGCCCGCACCGGCCTTCTGTCCTCGTCCTGTTTCCAGAGGCAGGCAGGATGGGAGGGCGTGTATCCTCGCGTTGAAATCGGACGGGCTTTTCGGCGGTTCCTGTGGTCACAGGCTGGAGCCTTCGTGGAAGAGGGGGACGTGGGCGTTAGATGGGCGGCTCTCTCCGCTGTCCCCTTGCCTTGTTCATGGGGTGAGGTTGACCTCGAGCTCAGTACTGACCCAGATGCCGAGGAGAACTCCGCAGGCCCCACACGACCCTGCCCTCGCCAGCTGCACCGGCACACTTGCGGTTGGTCGTGGCCCCTGGGCTGGGCAGGCCAGGACAGCCCTGGTGACCTCGAGGGACTCATTCGACTTCAGGCCCAACCCCTGCTGCTGCTGTGGGCTGCCCTCTGTGGGCCTTTGAGTGCTGTAGCTGTCTCAGAGTTGTGTTTCTCACATTTGAACTTCGTGGATCTGGCCTCTCTGTGAGAACAGCTCGTTCGCCCTGCTTCTGGTCGTCGACTTGGCAAGGGCGCCCTGCGTTGGGCCACCATGCACCGACTAACCTGGAGGCTGCAGGGTAAGGTTGTGTGCAGACACCCAAAGGTGAAAGTCAGTCTGGCCCTGGGTGTGGTGCAGAGTGGGACTGGCTGCTAAAAACCACATCCCAGTCAGAATCTGGAAACGGCATCTGGGGAAAAGCGTTCATAGTTAAGATTGATTGTGTTGAGCGTTAGCTAGTGGTGTTTGTCCCCTTTCAGTGGAAATGCTCCAAGGCCAAGCTTTGTGTGGCTCAGGCAGGCAACTAGGAACCCTGGGGTTGCCATGGCATCAGGTGAGGGCATAGACCCTGCGTGCCCAGCGTGCAGCTGGCCTGCATCCACCAGGGCCTGGGCCACGCAGCTCCTTGGGGCCTCCCGAGCCACGTGTGCGGTCCCACGTGTGCCGACAGTTAAGGACTGGCTGGGCTCCTGGGGCCTGCTGATGTCACCAAGGTGGGGCAGGCTGGGGGGGGGGGGCCTGCTGTGCAGACAGGTCGCCAGGAGAGCACGGAGCACGTCACGCCGTCCGGCCCCACAGCCACCGGCCCTTCCCCAGCCCGGGGCAGCCCGGCCTTGAGACAGATGGAGCCCAGGGACCAGCCACTCGTGGTGAGCATCCCCCGTCGTGTTCCTGACAGGCCTACGGCCCCATGTCCCCAAGGCTGCCTCCTGGCCCTCTGCCCCTTGGTACAGGTGCCCACTTGGCACAGGTCAGGTGTTGTGGCTGCGGGTCCCCGTCCAGGGCCCTGCCTCTGCTCCCCTGTCTGTCCCTCTTCACCCCCTGCCCTGTGATCTCCTCCCCGAGGAGCTCCAGGTCCTGCGAGGGCTGGCCAGACCCGTCTGCTGGGTTACTTGGAACTTGAGCCCACCTGACGGTGGATGAGCCGAGGCCCGGGACACACCCATCGGCTGGTTATAGGGAGACCCCCTCGTGAAGTGGGGGGGGGGGGGGGGCAAGGCAAGAGTTTGGGCTGGGGGTCCCTGGAGAATCGGGAGCAGCCTCGGTGGGGCCCCCGGAAAGCAGCCGCCATGGTGTCCTGACCTCAGGTGGCGCTTCGGATCCGCCCGCTCAGTGACACAGAACTGGAGGAAGGGGCCACCGTCATCGCCCACAAAGTGGGAGACCAGGTGAGGCTGTGGGGGCACAGGGCGTGTGTCCATAGGGTCGTGACACCTAGCGAACATTAATACCGGACACTGCTGCAGACACCGGGGCGGACCCGAGAGAGACCCGAGGACTTTTCTGGCCCAGGGTGGGGGCGAACGGTGAAGGGATAAAGGTGTAGCTTCAGGGGCGTTCGGTGTTACAGAGGATCAAACAGCAAAGGTGGTCACGGAAGGGCTAAGGCCTTGAGCGGCAGCTAGAGGAGGTGGGGGAGGTCGGTGGTCTCCGGGAGGGGGCGATCCAGGCAGAGGGGAGGGTGGCTCAGGCCCTGTGGCAGGGGTGGGTGTGGCTGCCCAGACCAGGGGGGCAGGGCCTGGCGGAGGCGTGATCGCCAAGGGCTGGGGGGGCCAGAGCCGGTCTGGCAGGACCAGGTCAGGGTCTAGGCCCTTTGCTGGAAAAGGGCCCCAGGTGACCGTGGTACGGTGGGGCCGGGACCCCTACTCCTCAGAAACTGCTCACAAGATGAGCTCTCAGTGCGGTTTAGAAATGCCTGAATAAATGCCAAGTGGGGGGGGCAAGACAAATTCTGTCAGATGAATTGGATTTTTCCATCTGTTGTTAGAAAGGCAGCTGTAACGAGGGGTTGACTGGAGTGCCCGGGAGTGTGTTAGCACTTCAGAGGCGAAGGACCCAGGGCGGGGAGCCTGCCAGATGGGGGTGCCTGGTGCTGACGCGGCAGGGCGGAGGGGAGCCCCGGCGGACGCCACGGGAAGAAGAAATGGACAGAGCGTGTGGGCTGCACAAACACTTTGGGTGCTCTGGGCGGAGGCCGCGGTGAATTGGTGCTGAGTCCGTAGATCGCTAAGCAGTAAATCGAGGTGAGGGTCGTTAAATTGGGGGAAGCAGAGATTTGCAGGAAAGGTTTTGGCCCAGGGTTGAAGACTGTATGTGGTGGTGATAGGGAAACAGCGTTGACTCAGCTGAATTCACACCACGAGCGCACTGGGGGGTCAGGATGCGGGCTGGGCCTCAGTCACCCAGGGGCAGGTGACCAGCCAGGCACCTCTGGGGGGGGGGGTTGTGGATTGGAGACTGCCCCGTGCACGGTACTGATTAACACGGACAGGGGAGGGAGGGAGTATTCTGGAATCTGTAACAGCTCTCAGGAGAGTGTCGCTAGTGCCCAAACCTTGGTGGCAGCCCATCTGGGGACTGACGGACCTCCTCCCAGGGAGTGCCTCCGTTGTCCAGGGTGACTCCCGCCCTACCTGATAACGGAGGTCAGAATGCAGCCTCTTGTTTGCTGGCCACACAGCTGGGAGGTGACCGACCCACACCTGCACAGTGGCCCCTGCCCACCCTGGCCCAGGGCAGCTCCGTGGGGGGGGGGGGTCGCCCATCGATTCCTAGTTCAGGATGCCGTAATCCTCGTGGGGAGAACTTCTCCCACTTCCTGGGCTTTGGGGACTGGGTGACTTTAGGGGGACTTCTGGATCATGGGGAAGGGTTTGGTGTGGGGAGTGTGTGTCAGGAGAAGGGAAGTGGCTTCAATGAGTTCGAACATCACTTTTCCCAGGGCCTAGGCCCTTCTGAACATTGTGAGCACGTCGGTCTGTGCAGCAGAAGTGGGGCTGTGTGCCCGCGGGTGACAGGGTGCTTTGACATCCACCCCCCCCCCCCGGGCACCCGCCCTGCCTTCCCCCCACATCCTGTCTGGTCTATCCTTCCACTCCAGGGTGTGCCAGAGCCCACCTGGGGCCTCTCCCAAGGCCGCCTCACTCTACTCTGTACAAGACATAACTTGCTTTTTAAAAAATGAAAGCGGAGTTCATAAAACATAAAATTCGCTATTAATTATTTTTTTAGTTTGTTTATTTATTTTGAGAGAGAGAGGTAGAACAGGGGAGGGGCAGAGACAGAGGAGGAGAATCCCAAGCAGGCTCTGCAGTCAGTGCAGAGCCCAACACGTGGCTCAAACTCACAAACCGTGAGATCGTGACCTGAGACAAAACTGGGTCGGACGCTCAACTGACTGAGCCACCCAGGCGCTCCCAAAATTCACCGTTTTAATGTGAGCAAGTCAGCGGCCTTTAGGGCACTGGCAGTGTCCAAACATTGCCATCTCCCCAGCAGGAGACCCTGCGCCCACTCAGCTGCCCTCCTGCCCAGGTTGGTGGGGGAGCATTGCCCCTTGCTGGCGTGAGCCTGTTTAACTGCCAGGCCTACCCAGCGCTGGGCTGTGGGCCCCTGCGGGGACCTGCCCAGTTCCTCCAACATTCTGGCCTGGCTCACAGCGGGCACCTGTGGTGGGAACTGTGTGGACCGGGGCCGCCCGAGTCCTTTTCTGGAGAGGCTCTCCCGGTTAGCTTACATCATGGAAAGCGTGCTGGCCTGAAGCCAGAGCGGGCCTCAGGGGCCGCTCCTGCCCCGCCGGACTCCCCAGGAACCTCTGAGCAGCCCTCGGACTCCCAAGACCTGTTCCCAAAGCTGCGGACCAAGACGGGGCTCGACCTGGTAGCCAGGAGGCCTGGCGGCCAGGCTCTCTGTCTGCCCAGCCTTGCCCCCAGGACTCTGTGGCTCTGTCCTGGCGCCCCTCCCTCCCCCAGTCCCAGAGCTCCTCTCAGAGTAAACAGAGCTGATGGCCTCTAATGGCCCTGGAGAGGCTCCTTTGAACCTCCCCGTCCCCAGAGGCCCTCAGACTCCTTGCTTTCCCCCCACCTCCGGGAGACCGGGGTGGGGGGGGGGACGGTTAACCCCACAAGGAGAGGCAGGAGCAGGCTGCAGAGCTGGGGGTGGGGAGTGGACGCACTCGTGCACTCAGGGTGGCCTGGGGGCGCACGGCAGCCCCTGCGGTCCATCCCTCAGTTCATCAAAGGGCTTTCTTCCCTCAGTTCATCAAAGGGTGTCCCTGCAGAGCCCAGGGGGTTCTTCACTGAGCCCTGGTACCCGCCGTTGTGTGGGGGACTCGTTGTTGATTGGGTGCTGGTGTTGGGGGTGCCGGGGGGCAGAGCCCAGCAGGCCTGAGGACTTCCAGTTGTGACTTTGGGGTTGCAATAGCCTGGAGAGGCTACCCCTTTGCCTAGGAAGTGGGGAGGACGCCTGGGGGTGGAGCCCCCAGAACCCCCTCCTGGCTGAGCAGCCCTTCTGGGCCCAGTATGGAGCCCCCTCGTGTCATCGAGGGTGGGCGGGCCTGGGGTCCTTGAGGGCGCGTGGAGCCTG